AGAACTAGACATCAGCTTTGAAAATCAGTGGTCAGCCCATCTCTTTGTGTAACTGCAGCTGTTCCCCGGCCAATTTTTATTCTATTTATGACTACAAAGGTGGCATCTCTCCCTCCTCTTCTAACAGTCATGTTTTACTCTCTTTCCACACTGGGACTTCAGAAACAGCCTTAAGGGTTGCTGCTTTTGGGTGACTCAGTGGGAACATCAAGGCTGTAAGAAACAAGTGCTACTGGAGCAACTGGTGCCCAGGAGAGGGTCACTGCACAAGTGCTCTGGATCCTATGGTCTACTCTGGCCAGCTGCTCTGTAGTCCAGATGGCAAAACACAACTGATGCTACTCCCTGTGCTCATGTCTGCCTTCCCTACTGCTCCAAAGGTGCTCAGAGCCAAGGCACGGGCTCACTGACAGCGCTGTGGGTACTGCCTTTGGCAGCACAGCTGGTAACATCTGGCACAGAGACAGACAGGGCAGTGAGGAGCAGTAAAATTTAAACAGCTTTTGCAGACTTGCCTGGCAACCTGAGAAACCTTGACCTCACTGCTTGGGGCAGACGTGTGGCCCTTCGTGCACCCTTCCTATAAAAAAAGGGATGATGCTACTTCCTCCTTCCCTTCCCAGACTGTTACAGCTAGGGCTGGTTTAAAAACAGAATTCCCTTCCCAAAGCCAATTCCACAGCTTCAAAACATGTTTTCATCCCAAAATTGGGCAAAGAAAGCCTGTTCCAGACCTTTTTTTCCACTTGAAAAAAATATTGTAAAATACTTTGTTGAAATGCTCTTTTTTTTTGAAGCCTGAGGTCTTCTACTTGAAGTCTTTTGTATAAACTTTCAGCAAAACATTGACCTCACCGAAATGAAATGTCAGGATCACCCACTGATGGAAATTTTGACAGGATCAATAGGTTCCTTTGAAACTGTTCAATTCTGTTCAATCAGCAAATATAAATCAGAGCTAAAACAAAACTCTGACCTTATTGAAACATGCAGTTGTGACAACTGCCCATCAGAAGTGTTAACAAATCAGTAGATTCTTGCAAAACACTTCATCTTGCTGTTTCAACTGCTTTACAACAATCTATAGGCTGTTAGCAGGTGGCAGGAGTCCCATCCTTGTCACCACTCTCTCTCCTCCTCCCTGGTTAGGATCAGAGCCAAGCTGGCTCTCTGCAACGTCATCTACTCAGGCGGGTGTGAGCCCAAGAGCCCATCATATCACAACCAGCCTCTTCCTCCACTGCTACACACTTCACAGTCAAGCTCACTAGTGCTCTTTATTCTCTGTTGCTTTATCTTCTCCATCAAACCAATGAGCAAGGGACAAAACCAGAAATTCTAAAATTTCCCTTCACTCTCCCCATCTTCTGCTGGCACTCAGTACTCGACTATTTGGTACAAATGAGCAGCTCTCTACGTCAGATGCTCTGGAGATGCTCACAAGGTCCACCTTCAGCTAAGACCACATGGAGTAAGAGTGCACTGGAGCCCGGCTTAAGGTAAGAGCCCACAGTGGGTCCTCTGGAGAAGCCCCCCTTTCTTCACTGACATTGGAGAGAGTTAAGGAATTCCAAGGTCCACCGTTGAGTTCAGAGAACACCCCACTTTTTGTGTGGTTTTTTTTAAGCCATCAGCCTTGTGGATGCACCTCTGAACTCTTGCTGGATCCCTCCCATGATCACTGCCTTTGGCCATGCCTTGGCTCCAAAGAGCTGCCCACATGACAGACTGGAGATGAGATGAGCCATCAGCACCCCTGCTGTGGGGCACAAAGGCCCCTTATGGCAGTTCTGCTGTCCCCACCCCATGTCCTGGGGCAGAGGACAGTGTGCACAAGCCCTGACTAGGCATGCTCAAGGCGTGCTTCCAGCACTTGCCAGAAGGGAAACCGGGAGGGTACTCCAGCGGCTCCAGCCAGACAAATCAGACCTGGAGGTTACGGTCAATGGACAAAATAAAACAGAGACAGCCTTTCAGGTCACCAGTGAGTCATCATTCACTTGCTACCAAAGCCCACAGTAAATCTCTTTTCCAGAGGTTGGGTCTCCTTGCCTAGATGCGTGTTTGTGGGGAAGCTTTAGACTTGGAAAAGGAAAACCACGACCAAGAATTAAGCTGGCCTCCAGACACGGCTGCAACAGCGTAAATCAACACCTTTGGTCATTACCTAATAGACTTCCCAAAGGCAGAAAGGATCTGCATGCCAGGAAAGGGCAACTCTGCTGTCCCTGCAGAAGCCATGGCAAATAGTGACCAACAACTGTGATTTCCTCTTTGCTGTTTCTTCCTCAGACCATGTTTTACAGCTGCTTTCAGTGTTGTAGGGGGACTCAGTTTACCCATTTGGAACTCATTTTTACCTTTTCTCTGATATCAAGCAGCAGCAAAGCCATGAAGGACACAGTCAATCTTGTGACACAACTGAAAACAAAGTTTTCTTGCGTCTAATAGAAAGTTTCATGACCAAATGAGAGAAAGGGGGAAGCAAAGAGCAGGATGCTGAAAGACACCCACACCAAAAGGAATGACTTCAGTCTTTCAGGTCCTATAGACTCAAGGCCTTGTTGTCTGAAGATAAGGTTACTCTAGTAACTTCCATCACAACAGGGACTGAGTTCAGTGCTCAAACAAGAACATCCACATTTTCAAGAACAGTTAAAAATAATATTAAATGGCAGAGGGAGAGAGAGATCTTATTTCCTGAAAATCACATACTCACTCCATCCCTAGGTCTGACAGGGATTTGTGCTAAGACTGGAAGTTTTAGTGATGGCTGTGTCCAAAAGCATCTTTTCTGGACTGAATTTCACTGTCATTGCTGTGACAACTAGACTGTCCAACAGAGCAGCTGCAACAGCCCTTCCCTGGGCCTTCAAGAGAAAGCTGAACTCACAGCCCACTGTACATGGGGGAAGGCCTCACTTCCCAGAAGGAAATTTTTCTGCAACCCATATGACTTACCCAAGTCTCAGCATCATGAGCACTGCTTTGGAATTACAGACTCAATGCCATCACCATCATAACCCCTTCGAAGAGGAACTCTCCACCTGCATTTACAGACCAGAGCAAGAAACAGCTGCCTGCTCCCAGCTTCACAGATATTACCTGCAGCCTTGAAGCTTGCTGGAGCATCTCTGCCTTGTTTCCCAACTACATCCTGCTCCGTGCTGCACGGTGACACAGGAATGAAACACCAGCCACAGTAGCCACACCAGGATGCACCTGGGGCAGCCACCACTACAGTCGTCTTCCCAGCTCTCCACAGTGTGCTGACTCCATTTTTGGCAATTTTCCTTTACCTACCTACACTTCCATTGAACTCCATGTCACCTTCACAGACAGACCATCTACTCCCTCTATTCTGTTACTCCTTCTTAACATGCTGTCAGGAGTTGCTGGTCCTGAAGAGAGATCCTTAATGGTTGGTTCTTAAGAGAGGTGAGCTGAGGACACTAAGTACAGGGCTGCCAATGGAACAAATCAGACTTACTTTCAGTCCAAAGGGACCATACTTCTCTCTGGGGAAGAAAAGGACATTAACCTGAATTTGTAAATACAGTTCTGGGTTTGGGGTATTTTTTTTTTAGAAACTCTTTTTATCTTTGTTGCCACATCCACTCACCCAGACACAGCAAAAAAATGTCTCAGCTGAAAAACTGAATTCATAAAAGAAAGCAAATAATTCAAATGAAAATCCCCCACTCGGTGTTTTAATTAGCAAGATATCCACTAAGCACAACTTTCTAGCCACTTCGCTGGGATGCAGGTCACCCACCCCCCCTCGTTTGCACCTTGGTACAAAGCGTGAGGAAATGCAGTTGGAAGTCCCATATTCAAAACACCAGCTGGATGTTTGCCTCATTTGTGTGAGTGCTACACTCTACTCTTATTTAAAAAGCCAGACAGATCTCAACAGGGTTTGAGGAAAAAAAAAAAAAAGGTGAAGCTTGCAACTTTGCAAGGAGGAATAAGGATAAACGAAAATACTATGATCTGGTTAGAAGTGGAAGCTTTGCTTCCAGGTAGACTTGGGGAACATGAGTCTTGCCTTTGCAAGATGCAGAGGTGGGATGGGAAGCCCACGAACCTACAGGGTGTCCTCACGACAGACGCTGTTGCAGTTATGTCCTCGATGGAAATACAGTGTTGCATTTCCATGCCCACATCTATAGGAGGGCACTATAAAAGGCAGGCAAGCATTTGGGTGAAGAGACTGAGTAAAGTGTTGGGGAATAAAAGAAAGAGGTGTGTGTGAGGGATGGGGAGAGCTGCCCAGCCCTGCCCTGCCTGCGGGAGACAGGCAACAACAGGTAGCGGGGCAGGGGAAAGTGCCAGGCAAAGCCATCCCTGCCCCACAGCAAGCACCCAGGAGCTGCTCTCCCTCCAGGCAGAACCAAGAACGGGCCCAGGCACCCAGAGCTCTGAGCAAGCCTCGACTCATCCTTGCAGCCACCCAGGCAAAATTAAAAACAAAGTGGGGAGAGGCAGAGCACCGTGGAGCCCTACACCTGGCCGGGCTGCAGGTACCTGGGGAGAGAGAGGGGTGCTTCTGGAGAAGGCAGGATAAGGATGAGGAGGATGATAAGAAGGAGGAGGATGATAAGAAAGAGGAGGAGGAGGATGAAAAGAAGAAGAATGAGGAGAAGAAGAATGAGGAGGATGAGGAGAAGATGCAGGAAGATGAGGAGATGCAAGAGGATGAGAAGATGCAGGAAGATGAGAAGATGAAAGAGGATGAGAAGATGAAGGAGGATGAGAAGAAGAAGGAGGATGAGAAGAAGAAGGAGGATG